TGTAAACATGAGAATCACTAGGAGTCTGATCTGGTAGTGAGACCCTGAACACCCTGTAGACCCTTCCCTAAGATAGAGAAAGAAAACACCCTTCATGTAGCAACCCATTTAATCTTAGCAACCTGACCAGGCAGGATCTATCATTACAACCACCCTCATGGCTCAGCATGGGGTCTAGAATAGCCCTGACATGGGCCCTTGAGTCACACCCCTAGAGTGCTGCAGTCACACCCCAGAGCTGCCCAGGAGCTCCAGCTTCACCTTGTCTGTCCTGGCACCGCACTGCTGCCCTACTTCACTAACGCCTCCTTCTCTGCAGCCTCCCGGGTAACCCTGGCTCCTCTCAAAGCAGATCATTCCCTTGACTGGGTGCAGGCTAGTGCCATCCCTTAGGATGCAGATCCGAGCTGTGACTATGCCAGCGAGGGTGTCATTGTGCACCTTGATGTGGGTGGCAAGGTTTGCATCTATTCCCCAGTGAGAAGGTGCACGGAGGCCCCACCAGGGTGTGCAGCCCTTAGGGAGGGGTCTGGGGTAGGGGTGGGGGAGGGGCCAGGCACCAGGTGAGGGAGCAGCTCTAGCCATCATGGAGCCCACTGGAAAGCCAGAGCCGGACAGGGAGGGCTGCGACCTGCTGTGCTCCCTACAGCTGGGAGCAGCTTCACTAGCCTGGACTTGTGGGTCAGAAAGTGGAAGGGAAGCCGTAGTGGCTTAAGGGTCAAAGAATGGAAAGTAGGATCAGCTTAGGTGGGAAGAGAAAAGGGAGTCTGGGGGGAGAGATGGTGACTGAGCAGGAACCAAACCAGGCCCAGCAGGGTTCTCTAGCCAGATGGTTCCATGTGTGCCACCCTCCCCCCCTCCCCGGGGATGCCAGGGGAAGGTGCAGGCTGTGACCCTTTGAGGGTGATGGGTGGGTAACTAGAAGTGGTGCCATGCAGCCAGGCAGTGCTGGGCCACAGTGATGGGAAAGGCCATTTGGTGGGCGTCATGAGTATCCTATTGAGAAGCAAAGGATGAAATTGTGATCTCATGCCCCTTCCTGTGTCACTGACAACCAGTATGATTCTTAAGAATGAAATCAAATCATGTCACCCCCTTCATTCAGTCACCTCCTCTTGCCTTCATACTCATTCAAAGTGAAAAAAGCCAAGGATTTGCAAAGCTTACATGCTGCCAGCATGATTCTGGTATTGTGAAAGCTTTCCCCCTTGTAATTCTCCTCCTTTCTGGGCTTCAGCCTCACCAGTTTCTCTCATGCTGAGCCACAAACCACTGCACACACGCTCCCTTCATGCCTCCCTCTGCACCTGCAGCTCTCTTGGCTAGACTTTTCACCATGAATAGATGCATGCCCAGGCCCTCTTCTCCTGGTCTTCACTTTTGTGTCATTTTCTGGGTGAGTCCCCTGCTCAATCTGTGTTAATTTGTGATAACAACTCTGCCACCCCACCTCCCTCTGGCACAGCCTCCCAGCATTATGAGCAAGCTGGGCACAGAACAGGAACTGCAGGGTCAATCTTCCAGAAGAGGAAGGGAGCGGGCAGAAGTGGGGGTGCAAGTTCACCTAGCCAACCTCTGGCCTATCTCAGGGGAGAAGTCTCTTTCTCCCCTTCTCTCCCCATCCACATTTGCTTTGCTTTGTTTTTCCTATTTAGAAAATTATTACTAGATTTTTATTTTATTGCTTGTCATTAATTTAATCTTCATTACTTTTTGCAATGGGGAGATCAAACTCAGAGTCTCCCACATGCCAGCAAATGCTCTACTATTGCACTAAATCCTTGCCTATATTTGTTTGTTTGTGTTTTGAGACAGGTTCTTACTATGTAGATCAGGGTAGTTTTGAACTCACTATAGCCCAGGCTGGCCTTGAACTTGGGGTGATCTTCCTGCTTCAGCCTCCCACAGGCTAGATTACAGGTGTGCACCACCATACCTGGTTCAATTTGTTTGTTGAAACCAGGTCTTGCCATGTAGTTCAGGCTACCCTCATTTTTTTTGAGTGCTATTGTAAAGGGTATTTTCCCTCTAACTTCCCTCTCAGTATTTGTTATCTGTGCAGAAGAATGCTATGGAGCTTTGTTTATTGACTTTGTAACTTGCTGTGCTACTGAATTTGTTTATTAATTTTAGGAGCTTCTTAGAGATTTTCAGGTCTTCCAAGTAGAGGGTCATGTCATCTGCAAATAATATTTTAACATCTTTTTACCCATTCATATTCCTTTTCTTTATGTGTCTTGTCTAATGGCTCTAGCTAATGATTCCAGAACTATATTGAGTAGGAATGATGATAGAGGACATCCTTGGCCTCTACCTGTTTTGAGAAGAAAATATTTCAGTTTTTCTCATTTAGACTTATGTTGGCTATTGGACTGTCACAGATTGCTTTTATCAGATTGATGTAGAAGTCATTTATTCCAATTTTCTGTAGGGCTTTGAGGGTGAATGTGTGTTGGACTTTGTCAAAAGATTTTTCTGCATCAATTGAGATGATCATGTGAGTTTTGGATTTGGCTCTATTGATATAGTGTAATGCATTTATAGATTTGCATATGTTGAACCATCCTTGCACCTCTGGGATGAATCCTACCTGGTCATGGTGTATAATCTTGATGATTTGCTGTATATTATTTGCTTGGATTTTATTGAGGATTTTTGCATCTATGTTCATGAGGGAGACTGGCCTGTAGTTCTCTTACTTAGTTGCATTTTTCCCTGGTTTTGGTATCAGTATAATACTTGCTTCCAGGAATGACTTTGGCAGTATTGCTAACTTTTCAATTTCCGTGAAGAGTTTGAGGTGTATTGGGATTATATCTTCTGTAAATTACTTGTAGAATTCAGCTGTGAATCCATCAGGAACTGGGCTTTTATTTGTTGGTAATTTTTTAAATTTCATTTTCAACTTTATTGGCTGTTACTGGGTTATTCAGAGTTCTTATAACTTTTTGATTCAGTTGTGGTAATTTGTACCTATATATGAATCTGTCCATTTCTTCTGAGTCTTCAATTCTGTGAGCATAAAGACTTTCAAAGTAGCTGTTGATGATCTTCTGAGTTTCCCCAGGGTCTGTAGTGATTTTCCCTTTTCATTCCTTATGCTTGAATTTGAGTTTTTCTTTCCTCTTTTTGATTAGATTATATATGGAGGATGTATCATTTTTATTTAATCTTTCAAAAAACCAACTTTTCAATTCATTAATTTTTTGTACTGTTTTCTTTGTCTCCATTGCAATAATTTCTGCTCTAATTGTTATGATTTCCTCCTGCCTCTGGGCTTGGGCTTGGTTTGCTCTTCTTTTTGTGGATGCTAGCGGTGCGGCATTAGTGTGCTTATTTGTTCCTGTTATGTTTTCCTAACCTGTGAGTTCGCCACTATAAATTTCCCTCTAACAATGGCTTTCATTGCATCATAGGAATTCAGATGACTTGCGCTTGAATTTTCATTGAATCATTTTTTGCTTAATTTCATCTGTAACCCATTGGTTGCTGAGGAAGATGTTGTTTGATTTCCATATATTTATGGATTTTTTTTGTGGTTTCTTTTGCCATTTACGTCCAGTTTCATTGCACTGTATCCAGACAATATGCATGGGATAATTTATGTTTTCTTGCATATACTCAATCATGACCTACGGACTAGTATGTGATCTATTTTAGAAAACACCCCACGTGGAAACAAGGAAAACAGTGTGCATTCAGATGTTGTTGAGTAGAACACTCTGTATATGTTTGCTAAGTTCAATTTTTCAAAGACCTGGTTACTTCTGCTACCTCTTTGTTATTTTTTTCTGTGCTTGAAGTATCTTTTTCTGGGATCACAGGGTGTTACCGTCCCTTGTCAAAATTGTGGTACTAGATATCAGATTTTTCATGTCCCTTAAGATTTATCTTATATTGGTGGGTGCTCCCGGACTTGGTGCATACATGTCTTTGACTGTTGTCTCTTCCTCTTGTATTTTTCCCCTGAGCAGTATGTAGTGGTCTTCTTTATTTCATTTCATCATTCTTGGTTTCAAGTTCAGATTACCTGTGAACAGGATTGCTACCCCTGCTTTTCTCTGAGGTCCTGGCACATGTACCCTTATTTCCTGTCTTTTGACTTTCAGCCTATGAATTTCTTTATGAGTTAAGTGTTCTTCTTGTATGTAGCAGATTGTTTTATTTTTGTCTCCTAATCCACTCTACCACTTGATTTCATTTAATTGATGAATCGAGTCCATTTACAAGGATGATTATAATTGAGATGTAATGACCTTTGTTTTACATTTTATTTTCCCAATGTAGGTTACCTAATTTTTCCTGCATAAAATTGTTTGCCCTATTTGGTGGGTTCTTTCCATTCTCATTCATGAAATTGTGATCATTTTTGAACCCTTTGTTAAATTCTCTGTATACGGTTAGCTTGGTCATCACAAATTTCTTTTCTTTTCTTCTTTCTTTCTTTCTTTCTTTCTTTCTTTCTTTCTTTCTTTTTCTTTTTCTTTTTTTTTTTTCTTTTTTTTTGCTGGAACCAGGGATTGAACTCAGGCCCTTGCAGTTGCCAGGGAAGCGCTTATTCTACTGAGCCATCTCCCTGGCCCCATCATAAATTTCTTTAGTTTTTCTTTTTCATGGAAATATTAAACTTGTCCATCAACCTTCAAAGAGAGTTTTTCAGGGTATATTGTTCTTGCTTGGAATTTGTTTTCTTGCAAGACATGAAGTACTTTTCACCATGCTCTTACTGAAGTTGTGGTTTGTGAAGAGAAATCTTGCATTACTCTACTGTTTTTTGTTTGTTTGTTTGTTTTTAATGAGATCCATTGCTTTTCTCTAGCAGTTTTTAGTATGGTCATCTTGTGTGGAATTTCTGGGATCTTGATTATTTTATGCCACTGTGTGATTTTAATTGGATTGATATTAATTTGAGTTCTATATGCCTCGGTAACATAAATGCAAGATTGTTTCTGTATACTTGGGAAATTTTCTGTTTTACTTCTTTTTTTTTTTTTTTTTTACAGGCCTACTGGATCTTTTATGCAGTTCAACACAGAAGGTAATACCAAGTAAGATGAAGTTCCAGTTTGGACGTCTCCTTTCCCCAGCCCCGTATCCTGATCCAGCGGCTGCCAAAAACAGAAGAAATTAAGCAGGGTGCTTGGTCATGGGGAAAGCGGCTGTGGTTGGCCTGACAAATGGGGGAAGGGAAAGGTTTCACTTCTTCACAATCTGAATGACATCCTCGTCCTCCAATGTATGGTCCTTACCCACTTTCTGAGGATTGTGTTTCACAGAGAGGCCCCAGACCAGAGCGTATTTAAATTCTTTGATAAGATTTTTGTGAATCTTCATGCAGAAATCCTCCACTGTGGTCCTGGAGTAAGGCAGTACCACAGGAGATGTGTAATCTGGTAATTGCCCTTTGGGTTTGGTATAGATTCTCACTAGTTTCAGATAGTCCCAGATCTTCTCCAATAAATCATCAAAATTCCAGCGGTGATGGGCAGAGATGGGCACACAGTGTGGCACCTTATAGATGATGTCCAATTCCTCAATAGAGATCTGGTCAATCTTGTTTAATACATAGATACAAGGGATATACACTCTGTTTCCTTCCACCACATCAATGAGGTCGTCAGCTGTGGCATCACTACGCAAAGTTACGTCAGCATTATGAATTTTGTATTCAGCAAGAATGCTCTTCACAGTTTCAGCATCTAGCTCACTCTGAGGACAAGTGGCTGTGAGATTAATGCCTCCTTTGTCTTTCTTCTTAAAGCCTATGTTAGGAGGTTTGCTATTCAAGCGAATTCCAAAGCCTTCCAGCTCATTTTCAATTATCTTCTTGTGTCCCAAGGGTTTCAAGACATCCAGAACAATCAGGATCAAATTACATGTACGGGCCACTGCAATGACTTGACGACCTCTACCTTTCCCGTCCTTGGCCCCTTCAATGATACCTGGGAGATCTAGGAGCTTTAAAATCTCTATACTTCTAAGGCTCTCTCGCTGTTTGTCCTCTCCAATGTGAGTATGGTCAAGCAGTTCCAGGCCCGGTAATAAAAGGCTCATATTTAAATTTTAATTTGGGCACCAGGGCCCGAGTTCAATCCCCAGTTCTGGATCTTGGCACCTTTGTATCTGATGACACCAGGCACAGTAGTCAGAGTAGTAAACTCATAGGCTGCCACCTCAGAATACACTCCTGCCAGGTTACTCAGCAGTGTTGACTTCCCCACAGATGGAAAACCCACAAACCCAATTCGAGCATCACCTGTCTTGGCCACATCAAAACCTTCTCCTGGCCCACCACCACCACCACCTTTTGGTGTAATGAGTTCTCTACGAAGCTTAGCAAGGCGAGCCTTAAGCAGCCCTAGGTGATGTGCTGTGGCTTTGTTCTTTTGAGTCCGAGCCATCTCAGCTTCGATCTCTGCAATCTTTGCTAAAGTGCTGCTCATGGTGGCGAGTCCGGGGGTACTCAGTAGCCTCCACCCTAGCCGTCTCCTCTCACACACCACACCGCTGACAAGCCACAGCCACCAGAAAAACCTTTCTGTTTTACTTCTGACATATTCTTTTTATATCATTTGTGTTGATTCCTACTTTCCCAGTGATGCCTATTAGTCTTCTATTGTTCATTTTGCAAAGTCTTGCAGCTGTTGAATCAGCAAACAAGAGGATGTTGTTGTACTATGTCACCAATTTTAGGGCCTGCCCCTCCCCCAAGGTGCCCTAAGATGGTGATTGCAACTGGGTATGGAGTCGCCTGCCTGTAATGCCACAACTTGGGAAGGTGAAAATGGGACAATCAGTACGAGTCTCATCTGTGTAGTAAGACAATGTAGACCCTGGAGGCCCTACAGGAAATGAAAAAAAAAGTTAAAAAAAAAAGTGAAAGAAATGTTGGAGTGGGGACCATGTTCAAATGAGGACTTACAGGGCTGGGGAGATAGCTCAGTAGAATAAGTGCTTGCCTGGCAAGTGCAAGGTCTTGAGTTCAATCCCAGTACCACCAAAAAAAAAAAAAAAAAAAAAAGAGGACTCACTGAGAGAGTTGCCACCCACGTGGTGTCTGGGGTATTAAGAACAGGATCCCAAAGTTGATGCGGGATAGCCCAGAAGAGGTTAAGAGTGAGCTAGCTCATCACAAAGACCTCCCTGGTTGCCCAGATCCCTGACTGTGTTCTGAGTGGACTTTTGTGGAGGTGTGAGAATGCAGGGGACTTCTTTCTACGCTGTTTGCTTTGGCTGCTGAGCTCTTCCTACTTGGTTACAGTTTCCATGCTTCAACTCTATAGTTGCTGCCATCTCAGGGCACAAATAAGAATACCCCTAAGCTGGAGGGTGCCAGCAGTGTGGGGACTTTGGACCCAGGCACACAGAAGAACCTGGTGAACTACCTGGTGCCTGCCCGGTGCTGCAGAGACCCCTGCTAGGAGCCTGCCTTCCTGGCCACCTTCAGGCAGTTCGCACCTATTCGTGAGTTGCTGGATCTGCTGTTCTTTGTGTGTCCCCCAACTCTAAGCCTGGGCTTCATCACCTCCTGAATGGAGGTTGGGAATGCAGTGCAGTTCTGAGCCCCAAAGTGCCCTGTGGAAACTGGGGTGCTCAGGGGATACAATTCGGATTGTTTAGGCTTAGACCAAGTTGGATGAAACTACACAGCACTTTTCCCCAGGTTTGGTGCTGAGTGGTGTCATCAGCCCATGACTGCGGGGCTTCCCCATCGCCAGGGAATGAGCTGTGTGCTGGGGCCTCACTTTCCCAGGTTTCTGGCTGCAGTAATCTAGAGCCGTGATGGCTAGGGGCATACGGTGCAGCCCTGACAGTTACACATCTGGGCTGGAGCTCACTGAGTGCTGTAACTGCAGAAATGTGGGCAATGCACCTACTGTGTGGGGGCCCTTTCCTGACACTTGTCTGTCCTTCCAGGAGGAGGAGAGACAAACTTCTCAGCCTCACCTGCTTCCCTGCTCTCCCTAGAATCAGATCATCCCTAAACATCCAGGTAGGTGGGGTTGTATTGAAGTGACCAAGCACTTGAGAACTTCCAAGTACAATGACAGGGCTCATCACCAAAGTCACACAAGTACCAGAGGGACTGCGCTAGATGCCACCTCATTGAGACTGCAAGTACCTTGGCAGGAGCAGAAGCAGGACTCTGGACTTACAGTACACCAGTGAACAGGCCACTGCTAAACTAGAGTCAGTACTATCGAGAGCACTTGACTACTCTATCACTTCCACTCAGTTACCATTGTTTGGGTTATTTTATTTTATTGAGAAACAATCAGCAATGAGACAGTTTCAAAACTGATTAATGGAGCAGTTTCAATAATTAATACATTGCATATTGTTGTCCTGGCAGTGCTCATTCATAGTACAAGATGCAGAAATGATATCCTGTCTAAACACTATAAGTACAAATATTTCTTCTCACTGAATTAAGAGAAAGAAGCTGTATATGCGTCTTAACTATTTTTATATACAGATACAAAATGGTCCTTCAACTGTATCTCCTCTTTTTGTTTAGTTTTGTCAGAGATGGGTATTCCATTGCAATTTAAATATTGCAGGTGTGTGGATTCAGCAAAATGATCCAATTTTATAAGGAGTAATTTAGAAAACACTTTTTCATTTCAAATACAGTTATACAGATAGAAGCAATGTATCATTTAATCCATTCAGACATATGTTAAGCACATCCATAGAAAGGAAAAAAGTGTATTAGAAAGCCTCCTGAGTGGCACGAGTCTGTAATCTTAGTACTGTAGGAGGCTGCGTCCAAAGGGTCTTTTTTTTTTTTTTTTAAATTATTTATTTATTTATTTATTTATGTGTGTGTGTGTGGCCAGCTCAGCCCACCAGGGGGCGGGCTGGCTGGCATGTGGTGCTGGGGGATTGAACCGCGGTCCCTGATGCTTTTGCTAAGCTTGTTCTAAGTAGGTGCTTTAGACCACTGAGCCATCTCTCCAGCCCCCAAAGGGTCTTAAGGCTGAGCCTGACCTAGGCAATTTGAGACTGAGTGAGACAGCTTTTCACAATTAAAATGATTAAAACAAATTTTAAGAAAGGACAAGAATGTATGCCATTGGAGATGCCTTGTGTTCAGTCCCCAGCAAAGAATCAGTGAACCAATAGAAGAAAAGAGGGAGAAAGAGAGAAGAGAAGAGAAGAGAGAGTGAGAGCGAGAGCGAGCAAGAGAGTGAAAGAGCGAGAGCGAGAAAGTGAAAGAGAGAGAGAGATAGAGATGTGTGTGTGTGTGTGTGTGTGTGAGAGAGAGAGAGAGAGAGAGAGAGAGAGAGAGAGAGAGAGAGGCAGGCAGTGAGAATTTTAGTCTCTAAGTGACCTTTTATCAAATCCTGTGGTTTGCAAGCATGTAGCATGTGGTCCTGCAGACATGTCCTCTCTGCTCGAGGTGGACTCAATGCCAGATACTGCCTGGCATGCTACAGGCTGTGGTGGAGAGGCTGAGGCAACTCTGGGCCAGGATGACCCGCTGTACTCCTCAGAGAAGCCACAGGCAAGCGCAAGGGTGCGCACACAGTTACAGGATTCCTGCCTCTGGGGCCCCGCCCTGCTCTTCTGTCCCTGCCCTTCCAGCCTAGAGCTGCTCGCCCAGCTGTGTCAGCCTCAGGACTTACCCGAGGGGTCACAAGGACAGCTAGACACAAACCTACCACACTGCCCTCCCAGAGCTGGCTGTGCTGGGGTCTGCAGGGAGGTGCTATCGCAGAGTATGTTGGGTTAGTGCATCTGGTTTTGCAAACAGGAGGAGGGTTTGATATCCAGCAGTTTGATGACATATGGGAGAGAGCAGGGCACCAAGAGGGGCAGGAAGTGACCTCACTGCCTAGGCCAAGCACCAAATAGAACCGGGAACCCCAGAAGCAGCTTCAGTACATTTATTTCTGAAGAGACTCAGCAAGCAGGAGGAGGGTGCATTGTGACCAGTTTTCAGGCCATAACACATGGTGGAGGGCCAGCCCCATGGCTCAGCGGATTGATGTGCCTGCTTAGGCAGACCCAGGGGCCAGAGGTTCTATCCCAGCCTGCCATGCCAGGCCGCCCCACGCGCACACTCAGTTGGGGATTGAGGCTGGGTATGGGATGGCCCACCTGAATATCTCACTGCTTGGAACCTGAAAACTAGAAAATCACTGCAAGTTCCCTCTGTGTACTGACATACTGTGGAGGCCCTACAGTAAGTAAAAAAAAAAATTAAAAAGAAAGTTAAAGAAATGGTGGAATGTGGGTCATTCCCAAATGGGGACTCCCTGGGAGAGCTGCCACCCCTGTGGTCTCTTGGGTATTAAGACCAGGATCCCTAAGGTGATGCAGGATAGCCCAGAACAGGTGAGAGTGAGCCAGCCCATCACGGTGACCTCCCTGTTTGCCTCGACCCCTGCCTTGTTCTGGGTGGTCTCTGTGAGGGTGAGGGAATGCCGGGGACTTCTTCCCATGCTTTTTGCTCTGGCTGCTGAGCTCTTCTGACTCGATGACAGTTTCTACTCTTCAACTCTGCCTTTTGATGTCACTTCAGGACATAAATAAGACCACCCCCAAGCTGGAGGATGCCAGCAGTGTGGGGATCTTGGAACCAGGCTCACTGGAGAATGTGGTGGACTACGTGGTGCCTGCCCAGCGCTGCAGAGACTGCTTTTTCTGCCTGCATTCCTGGCCAACTTCAGGTGGCTCGCCTGAAGCTGCTGTTCCGCAGGTGTGCCCCACCCACAAGCCAGGGCCCCACAACCCCATGAGTGGATTTCAGGAATGCAGTACTGTGTTCTGAGCCCCAATATGCTCTGTGGAAACTAGGGTGCTCAGAGGACACTGTTTAGATGGTTTAGTCTTAGACCAAATAGGATGAAACCACACAGTACTTTCCCCAGGTCTGGTGCTAGGCAGGGTGATCAGCCTGCAGCTGTGGGGCTTCCCCATCACCAGGGAATGAGCTGTGTACCTGGGGTCTCCCTGTCCTAGGCTTTTGGCTACATTAATCCAGAGCAGCCATGCTTAGGGGGCAAAAAGCACAGCCCAGGTTGTTGCACATCTGGGCAGGAGCTCGCTGGGTGATAAGGCACCCACTGTGTGCAGGCCCCTTTCCTGACACTTCTCTGTCATTCAGGGAGCAGCACAGACAATCTTCTCAGCCTCTCTTGCTTCCCTACTCATCCCAGAATCAGGTGATCTCCTAGACATCCTGGTAGACTGGGACACTGCACACACAACCTGTCTTGAGGCAGCACGGAAGGGGTGGAGCACAGACTGTTCAGCATGGATCCCTCAAGACAGTCCAGCAGCTCCGGGGCAGGGGCATCTCTGCCAGGCAGCCCTCCTACAGGCTCAGTGACAGGCAAGGGAATGCGAAGAGAACAGGCCCCTGACTCTCCTGCCTGTCTGCCACCACAGCTCTGAGCTTCCTCCTGGAGACCGGGTTGCTCCTATACTCAGGCAACTTTGCCAGGACCCAGACCTGGC